GGTCCCCTGGGCTGCACTGACACTTTGATGATCAGGGTGTCAGCTACATTAGAGGACACTGATCACGATGCTAAAATTAACCAAGCTAGCTAAAGTGTGTGTTAATTATAAGTATGCAAGCAGTCAATAAAAGGTTAATGCAAAAGTCAAAGGATAAATTTATTTCAGTATTGCATCACTCTATGGACTAAATGACTAACATTATGCTTTGTTTTTAATCAATATATTTTACAGTAATGCGTGAGCCATTGATTTGAAAAACAGTCTTCATTCTAACAGTTAAGTTTTGCAACTACTAAGTATCAAGTATCAATATACTTAAAACACTCTTCATTCAGAGCAGACACTTTTTTGTTCCATTGTCAGGAACAGGAAAGCATGTAAGCCAGGAGCCAGCCTCAGGTTCTGCTGATGAATGTGATTAATGCAAATAAGAGTAATTACCTAGGAACCTAAATAAGGTGCTGTGAATTAGGGCCCCTGGATTCCATTGCTCTGTTTGTCTACTCCACAGAAGTGTAGTCAAATCAGATCAATAGGGGTTAATTTGTGGCTCAGACTGCACAGGCGTGTTAAGAGTAAGGAGATGATACGGTTTCCTAGATGGTACTAATTTACTTGCCTGCACCTGACAGTTCAAAGACAATGGAGATCACGTGGAACTTCATTAGGCAAGTCAAGGAACACTGAGGTCTGCCCATCTTCCCCCTGCACTGATATGGTCAGAAAGGGAGGATGGGATATTTGCTCTGCGTGTACAAAGTGCGCACTCACCCTGACGTGCTTACTCCAACATTGCTGAAATGTTTATGTTTTATATGACAGCTGTTTCCTCCCTCCATTCAGGCTACAATAAAGGTGCTCCTGAGCTGTTATTCAGAACTTTGGAGCATCTTTTAAAACAATGGCCCAGGTAAAAACAGGGCTTGGAACACTCTGCCAAGACAAATGCATTAATTAATCCCATACTGCCAGTGGCTAAAATGATACAATGCTGATAACATGGATGCTGTTCTGAGTAAGAGTAATAGCAGTAGCTTCTTTAGACAGCATCTTCCTTCTTAAGATTCACAATGACTTTGCAAATCTCAGTTTGATCAAATATGGCTTGTCACTGTTCCAACATGGGGCTCTGCCATGTGAACACAAATCCTAATAATACAGGTACCTGGTACATAGAGTTTTGCTTGCAGGTTTGGATTTTTTCCAAAAAATTCCATCCCCGTCCTTCAAACCTTCCTTCTGCCTGGAA